TAGTTAAATATTTACAAACAAAACCAAAATTAAAAAGGCAACCTCAGTTACAACTGCTTCAAAGAAATCAACTAGTCACACAATTAACAAAATGCATACAAAATCAGTATGCTAAAATTAATAAAATCCATTGAAAAAAATCAGATAATCTTTTAAAAATGTAGAAATATGCCACATTCAAAGATTGGGAAAATACATATAATTATGATGTCAAGTCTTCCCAAAATGATTACATAAATCCTATTAAAACCCAAGCAATTTTTTATCAGCTTAGACAAGTTTATCAAATCATTTATATGGAACCACAAACTCTAGACTAGCCAGAACAATCTTGACGAAAATAAATAAATTGGGAGAAATCATATTATCTGAGTTAAGGCCAGTTAATATAGCTGCAATACTGAAAACAGTGTGGTACTGGCAGAGGTCATTTGGGGAGTGAATCATCAGACGGAATATCTTCCTCTCTGTCTCTCCTCCTCTCTGTATATCTGACTTTCCAATAAAAATAAATAAATCTTTAAAAGAAAAAAGGAAGCCTTTGTTTCCTTTTTCATTTCTTCATCGACACATTGGTAATTCAGTAGCATGTTACTTAACTCCATGGTGCTGTAAATCTTGTGTTTTATCTTTATTTCTATTGATTGTTTCATGGCTTCTCATTTAAGGGAATGTATAGTAACTGAGTCATGGAGACTATCAAATCCAGTTGTGAAGATAAATGCAGTATGCATCCCTACTTCCAAATCAAAGTAGTTTCCCAATGAAACCGTTAGGTATATATTAACAACAAAATGCTGGACTGTCAGCCATTGTCTGTACCAGCAACATCAGAACGCACATAAACATCAGAATGATGGGCTTATGACTGCTTATGAAGTACTATGCTATTGTAATAATATGGGAGAAATGAGTTGGGGGAGGGAATCCAGGAAGGGGGTAGAGGAAATCCCAGAGTCTTTGGAATTGTACCATAAAATTTAAAATAAAGTGGAAGAGAGAGGGAAAAAAGGAAGAAAAAAAAACATTAACTATTTTTAGGGAAATGTATTTCATTTCTAAAAATGATATTTTGGGACTAAAGTATTTATCTGTGTAGAGAAAAAACAACTTTTACATACTTCAATAGGAAATACTAAGTATTTTTAATACGTAAAATTGCTCCAATAAATACTAAGACATGAAAAAAGAAGTTATCTAGGTGTCAAATAAGCAAATCAAAATATTCAAAATCAACCATGACACAACTGCAAATTAAACCTACAATGAGGTATTACTACGTCCCTACAAGATAAAAAAACACCAGACGCAGGTAAGTACATGGAATAACTACATTATTATACACACATTTTTGATGAAAACCTAAATTAATACAGCAACTCTAAAAGCACGTTAGCAGTTTAAAGCTACACAAATGATTATCATATTCATCCCAGGGAAATAAATACTTGTATCCCACAGAAATGTTCACACAGAATTTTGTACATGAAATTGCATAGCAAATTTATATTCATTAAAACTGAACACAGCCCAGATGTTTTTCCATAAGCGATTGATTAAACAAGCCATGGTAGCTCCTACTGTGAAATAGTATTCAACTACAAAACTTGAACAAATTAATGATCCATGCAATCATCTAAACGTATCTCCAGAGAATTTTGCTGAATGAAAACATTAATAAACACTTTCAAAATGACAACATTATATATCTGAAGAACAGATTAAAAGTTACAAGGCATTAGGGATGATGAAGGGATGCAGAGAAAATGAGGTATGGTTGCAAGAAGGTAACAGGAGGAATGCTGTGCCGATAAAGTGCTGTGCAACCTGACTGCAGTAGTGGACAGATGACACTCCTTGTGACAAAATTATACAGAACTACACATACATATACACAAACACTACGATCAAAAAGTGTAATATTATCATCAATGTAAAAAAGCAAAGAGAAAGCCAGGAACCTGTAACAAGTTTTTCATTATTTTCAAAATGACATTCACAAAGAACTTACAGTATACCCCAAAACATCAAACATCTACTATATAGTAAAATGTTTTCTAGTAAACTGAAATTTATTTTTTTAAATAATTTTTCACTCTAACCATTTTTTTTAAGATATTTTTTAACTGGAAGGTCAGATTCACGCAGAGAAAGAGAAACAGAAAGATCTTTCCATCCACTGATTCAGTCCCTAAGAGGCCACAACAGCCGGAGCTGAGCCAATGCAAAGCCAGGAGCCTCTTCCAGGTCTCCCACGCAGGTGCAGGGTCCCAAGGCTTTGGGCCATCCTCGACTGCTTTCCCAGGCCACAAGCAGGAAGGTAGATGGGAAGTGGGGCACCCAGGGTTAGAACCGGCACCCATATGGGAGGCTGGGACACGCAAGGTGAAGACTTTAGCTACCAGGCTATTGCAAAGGCCCATTCTAACCACTTTTACAAGTAGTTTCGCAAAATGTACTACAAACCCCTGCACTATTTCAAATGAAGGCTAGAAAACATTATTCAGGTTTTGCCTTAAAATCCTGGGATTTGTAATTGTGACCATCAATTTTGATACTCTGCTATAACGTAAGTGTTGGCCTTAAGGGATGTGCTGGTATGAAAAGCCACTTACCTCTATACTAAATGTCCTAAAGTCCATTCTCAGTTTATCGATGCTCATTTCCCCTCTTCTGTCAGTCGACCAACTAGCATGTAAAGTAACTGCAAGTTGGATCCCAGGAAGACTTTTGGGATCACCTAGTACCAACCTTTCGTGCATCACTAACGGTAAAGCTAGGGCCCAAAGTGGAAACATTTATGTCTTAGTATCACATAACAAGCCGAACAGTAAAGGCAGAAGTAGAACCTTTGTTTCTGCACAATTCTGTGTCCCCGCTTCCAACACATAACACTTTTCTTTTGCTGCTTCAAAGCACTATGACAGAAATCTCAGAAAATCAGGTTGCCAAGGAATATAAAAATAAAAACAAAGCTTCTGATTTAATTCAGTCAGTGCTGGGTAAAAACTTATATTCAAACTTATATTCCAAGTTTGGGGCCAATTCCAAGCTTGGGGCCTAATTCCAAGTTTGAGACTAAAAGACTAAGGATGCCACAGTCTGGCTGGGGCCAAGAAAAGATACTGTTATTTTTGTTTACCCGTTTTGTTAGCAATCATGGGCAAGTGGACGTTCTGAACATTTGCCTTCCATCTTGCTGGATATTCTCCAGGCTCTTCATGGTTACTCTGACATTAACAGCAAACTTGTGCATATGAATGGAGACATACAGAACATTATCCATATTCACATCCTGTTCCACACTTCAATTGGCAATAAAAACTTAGTCTTATTTTGTTGTCTTAAAACAAAACTTTTACCACCAACTTACAACCTTTTTTGAGCTTTTCCCAACCACCAACCTATTACTTTATTTGAACTATTCCCATTTATTTACTTTGGATTTGAAAGGCAGGCAGGTTCACTCCTAAAATGTATAAAACAGCAAGTACTGGGCCACATCAAACCCCAGAATTCAATCAGGGTCTCACACATGTGTGACAAGAACAAAAGTATATAAACCTTCATCTGATACTTCCCGACAGTGGATGCGAAGAACCAGGAGCAGAACTAGGTACCCTGATACGGGATACAGCCATCCCAAGCAGCATCCTAACTGCTGTGCCAAGTATCTACCCAAAAATCTTTTTCTTTAAGTTCCAAAAACAAAATAAGGAGAGCAGAAACTGAAAATCAGATGGATGATTTTATCCTCCCTAAAAATCTCAGTTCAGTCATTCGAAATCATTCATCTCAACTGTCATTAAAGACAGAGAAATCAAAGGAGCTGAAGTATTAAAGGGTATTTCTCAAATGACTACAACATAACTCTCACTATACTATATTGAGATAATACTCATGACAACACACAAATAAAAATCAAACAAGAAACTTAGCAAGTATTTGTTTCTGATATCTTTAAAGTGTATAACTTCTAAGTGGAAATCACTTTCTGTTATAAATCTTTCTCCAGCAGCTCTGATCAAAATGAGCCACACCTTTTCATTTGAGATGGCACCGAATTATTACGTAAACAACACATAATACTAATATGTAAACATTCCTGACATTTCAAAAGCTGGACTTTTGCAGAAACTCAACACCCTGTTAACCACATGTGAATGCAAATGTGAGTTACAGGAAAGAAATGAACACTGGTAACAAAATGAAGCATTAATTTCCCAGACTCCTCAACAGCTCAGATGATGCTCACCACTGTATCACAAGAAGCATACGCAAGATGACAGAAGATGCCCTGAAGAATCTCTAGCACACTGGATTTTGAAGTTTTAATTACCATCACAATGCCTAAGACTTCTGGACTCTGTAATTTCAGGAATGATTGTACTTTACCACCAATTATTATCTTGGAACCTATCAACAAAAAGAGCTGTAAAAATAAACTATTCAAATTATTCCAAGGCATTGAATTTCTCAAACACTTAAAAATACTCTGTCTTCCAAATGTTTTATCCAAGCTTTCAAAAATATGTACCACTCTTTTTTAAATTCAAGACGAAAACCTACATTTTGCTACACTGAATGTTATCTAAGAAGGCTGGTATGGTTTGAAAAATACTGGAATATAACTTCATAACTCTGGAGCTTAAACATAGATTTTACTACCCTCTAGCTAATTTATCAAGTCACATGACCCTTGGCAAATGATTTTATCTTGTGTTCCACTGAGGATTCTGTTAAAATCGAACATGCAGCTACTACTATTAAGCAACCCTAATACAGGACTGTTGTACAGCTCAATACGAAGAACACATTTAAAAGACTTGTAAGACATTATTACTATTACCTAAACCCAGAACACCGAAACTCTCCAATAAAAAGAGGCAATGTCAGCACAGCAATCTGAGTCACACAACCAGTCCCACGCAAATTCTTGCTGAAGGCTACTTCTGAAGAAGTATAAAACAGTAGCTTATCTTAAATAAATATTTTCATACCTAGCATAACAAAATACTTCCACATGTTGAATGGTTTTGTCCTTCTGGCTAAGAGCAATGGCCTCTTCATTTTCAAGGACATGTTCTTGCCATGGTGAACTTTCATTTGTAATGTCATTGTTTTCCTAAAAACACAAAGGAGAAGACTTAATTGAGCATTCTGAATCAATAATTTTCTAAGCAAATCTGTATCTTATCTAAACGCAAGTTTTCTTTTTTCATCCCATCATTACTCAAAGAATTACACTTCAGAGTGACTGAAAAGTCTAAGATAGCGTACCAACTTCAAAAGATGATGAAAGCAATCTGAAAAACGAATGCTTTCAAAATTTACTGGCTTCATTTTTTTTTTTTAAACATCCTCCCCTTTTTTTTTTTTTAAAGATTTATTTTTATTATTTTTTCATTGGAAAGGCGGATATACAGAGAGGAGAGACAGAGAGGAAAATTTTCCATCTGATGATTCACTCCCCAAGTGAGCGCAACGGGCCGATACTTTGCCGATCCAAAGCCAGGAGCCTCTTCCGGGTCTCCCACGCGGGTGCAGGGTCCCAAGGCTTTGGGCCGTCCTCGACTGCTTTCCCGGGCCACAGGCAGGGAGCTGGAAGGGAAGCGGGGCTGCCGGGATTAGAACCGGTGCCCATATGGGATCCCGGGCATGCAAGTCAGGACCTTTAACCACTTGCGCCATCGCGCCGGGCCCACTGGCTTCATTTTAAACATTTCTATCAGGATATGTGGCATTCTGATAATACTCATTTGGATGTGTGTGTGTGTGTGTGTGTGTGTGTGTGTGTGTGTGTGTACGCGCGTGCGCGCCTTTATTATTTGAACGACACAGAGAAAAAGCCACTGAATCTCCCATCTGCTGTTTCGTTTTCCAAATGCTAACAATGGTATTTAGCGAAGCTGGAATCTAAGAACTCAATCCTGGTCTCCCAAATAGGAGGCTGAGGTCCAGCCACTGCAGTGATCACTGTTATTTCCCCAGCATGTGTAATAGCAGAAAGCTGGCATCCAGAGTAGACCTGGAACCCAAAACAAGCACCCCAATTATGGAATGCAGGCATCCCAACTGGTATCTTAACCATTAAGCCAAATAGATGTGTAATTTATTTAAATTAGTTACAGAGGCACAGGAGAGAGAAGCATGTGTGCAAAAACACAGTCTCATCACTGATTCACCCTACTAACACTCAGATGCCTGCTTGAAGTCAAAGGTGGGAATAAGCTAGAAGCTGGGGACTCAACCCAGGTCTCTCCTGTGCACTGCTAGAACCCAATTTCTGAAGTCATCACCACTGTTTCCAGACTTGGCAAACATTTGTAATGAACCAGCTATTAAAAACTTCTCCGCCTCTCCCTCATTCATTCTCAGTATGACTCTATTAAATAAATAAATAACATGCAGGATTTACAATTTTAAACTGAAGAAAGATTTTGGTAGACAATTTTGCATTAACAGATAAACTATTTGATAATATTGTACATCAAAACATAAGCAGAAGAGTTGAAGCACAAGATCTTTGAATGTGAAGACATGGAGTTCCCAGTCTGAGAACTGTGGACCAAGGAAGGAATGAAGGGAGACAATGACACAGTGACAGAGTCAAGATCCTTGAGTAAAACAAATACTAAAGCTAGCTTTCAAAAATCATTTTACTTGAAGAAAATTCAACCATAATCAAAAATTTTTTTTAACAATCCTCTTCATCACCAAAACTATTCCATTCAGAAAAAAGTTTCTTCTTTCTTTCCTTTTTTTTTTTTTTAATAACTGTTCTGACAATTTTAGGCTAGAAATACTAAACATACCTAAAGACAAGTTTGCTCTCACAAACACAACTCAAAGGTAAGGTTCAAAAAAGGATCTCCTAACTAAACTTAAGTACATGAATGTCTATTTATATTTATTCTCACCTTAATACACAGGTTCAATTAATACAAAATACAACTTTAAAATACTAAACACTTCGCCACTCTCATTTCATGTAAAAAGCATTTTCACAGTGTTCTCAACATCAATTGTGTTTGTTATCATGAAAGCTACCTTTTTGAGTCACACACAACATTATACCACTCAATACAATGACAATGCTTAACTTTGCTATACTTACTTAACTGAACACAACTTTCTGCAAAATACCATACTACTTTTCTATCATTTGAAACTCTTTGGAGAGATAGCACTTTCAGAATCAAATTGTAATGCTCAACAATAATTTTATTTCCAGAAACATGACCCATTTATAGCAAATTTTCTTTTAAAACAGTAACTTAGTATACTATAACACAATCAGCTCCTTCTATGATATTGTAAATAAAAGCTTCTTACAATGATGTGCAAAAGCTGTAATAATGAGATCCTACCCTTAGAAAAAATTGAATGTATATCAAATCTATTTGGTTTTTTTCTATTGCTTCTGTCACATGACCACATGCAAAGCCACTACTGAGTGAAATCATTTTATCTGATATATCTTCCCAAAATGCTGATTTCTGGGTTTTTAATTTTTAAGATCAGCTCATTGATTTGAAAGGCACATATAAAGAATGAAAGAAACAGAGGGAGAGCTGTAAGCGAGAACAAAGGGAGGAAAGAAGATCTTGCACCTGCTAGCTCACTCTCCAAATGAACACATTGCTAGGGTGCCTGGTCCGGGGCAGACTGGGCCAACAAGAAGCCAGTAGCCATGTAGGTGATAGGGGCCCTAGCACTTGGGTCATCTTCTACTGCTTTCCAAGGTGCAATTGCAGGAAGATCAAAAGTTGAGCAGCAGGGACTCAAACAAGTGCCTATATAGGGTATCAGTGTTACAGATAGTAGCTTAACCCACTTCATTCCAACATTGGCACCTTTTCTATGGAGTTTTTATTAAAAAAAAAAAAAACTAACAATACACGAGATCTTGAAAGGACATGAATCTTTTTTTCTAAACAATGATTTTGAGAGAAAACGTTGCCTTATATGTGGGCAGATAGAATAACTAGAAACTGGTATCAAGAATATATAAGTTCCTCTTCACCTAACACGTCCCTGTATACTTACATAATTTTAAAAGTGAAATCTATATTATCAATGCATCAGAAAAATATTAATTGCAAAGAATATGTATATTGCTTGTTACTCAAATAGGAGCTATTGTTGTAGAGCAGTGGGTTAAGCCACAGCTTACAATGTGATCATCCCATACTAAAGTGAAGGCTTCAGTACTGGTTACTCTGCTTCTGATCTAACTTCCTGCTAATGTGCAGAGAATGATGGCTCAAGTACATAGGCACTGCTATCTCTGTGAGACACACAAATGGAGTTCCTTACTTCTGTCTTTTGCCTGGTCTAGATCTGGCTGTCACAGCCATCTGACAAGCGAAGCAACAGATAACTGATATCTCTCCATGCCTGTCTGTCTGTCTCTCCCTCTATCTCTCTCGCGCTCTCCTCTTTCTCCTCTCTCACTCTCTACATCCGTTGATCTGCCTGGAAAAAAATGAAAAGGAAAAAAAAACTCTTAAAACATAACTAAATAAAAATAAGGTAACAATTCTGTATTACAGATAGATCTTAAGAACTTTTTCAATGTAAAGTTTCCATGTGACACAAAATACAACTTAGCAAATGAAAAGTAAGAACCTTACCTGATTTTCCTTTATCCAGGACAACAGTCCTGAAAAGCTGAAACTGGCCCAGTTTCCTCCATAGTAGCTTCTTCTGTAACAATAAATAAAGCATATAAAAATCAAGACACTGATGATCATCAAGAAGCCATCACTGACACATCAATCCATCGCCTTTCCTAATACTGATGCCTCAAAACACCAAAAGCACAAATACTTGGGATGTTGATATATGAGGAAATGGCAGTATGAAAAGCAGGCATCAAACTCCAAAGGAAATTTTTCATTGCAGAAAGAGTTGAAGAAAATGCTGCCTCTGGTATCCTTACTTTCTTCCACTGATCATATGAATATCATGACAGTGGCACTTCACAGGTAACATGAATGTGCATGACTGTTAGATTAACAAAAATAGCTCAGAAAGAACTCTTGATATCTCACGAAAAAACTTCTCAGTTTTCAGAAGGCGTTTAGATCTGCACCACCCAACTCATCTTGCACAATGACACAGATGGCTAACCTAAATCAGTGGATCAAAAGAATGGCCTATGTTATTGCTCATCTTGAAGACCAAAACTAAAATAGATCACAGGACAAAGTTATTGACAGCAAATGGAAATAGGAAAACAGGAATATGATTCCTGCTGACAACTGGAAGAATTACTATCCTTCATTCTACAGATCTGTCAAGTTCATCCTGTTTTGGAGAACCAAGAAATCTCCCAACTAGAATTGGGGAACTGGTATTTGGTACAGTACTTAAAAAGCCACCTAGCACATTCACATTCCACTTCACAGTTCCGGGGTTGGAAGCCTAGCTCCTCTGGGATTTCAGCTTCCCACTTTTGTGCACCTGGAGGCATCAGGTACTTGAGTACTTGAGTCCCTGCCACCCATATTAAGAGATTGGACTGAGTGCCCAGCTGCTGGATTACACCTGGAACGGTCCCAGCAATTGTGAGCATTTGTTGAATCAGTGGCAGGAAGATTTCCAACCACCACCTCGCACCTCAAATTGCCACTTTCCTTCTCTCCCTTTCAAATAAACATCTTAAAAAAAAAAAGAAAGATGAAAAGATGTATTCATCTCTACTTGAACGATTTAGACACAGAAGGAGAGGCAAAAAGAAAGATCTTCCATCCACTGGTTCACTCCCCAAGTGGTCACACAGACCAGAACTGAGCCAATCTGAAGCCAGAAGCCTCCTCTGGGTCTCCAGCATAGCTGCAGGGTCCCAAGGCTTTGAGCCATGTCCTACTGTTTCCCAGAAAAAAAGCAGGGAGCCTGATGGGAAGTGGAGCAGCCAAGACATGAACCGCCCCCCACATGGGACTCTGGCACAGACAAGGTGAATACTCTAGCCACTAGATCACTGCATGGCCCTAAACAAACAAACAAAAAAAAATCTTTAAAAGATTATGAGACCATCAAAGATTGCTGAAATCTTGGCCACACCTTCAAAGTGGATGGCACAAGAATTGCCCAGCCTTTTGGTAGCTGGTTACCAAAGGGGAACGTCTTATCTGTATGTTCCTGAGGAACATTAAAAATCCTAAGAATTGGGCCCGGCGCGGTGGCACAAGTGGTTAAGGTCCTCGCCTTGCACGCCCGGGATCCCATATGGGCGCCAGTTCTATTCCCGGCAGCCCCACTTCCCATCCAGCTCCCTGCCTGTGGCCTGGGAAAGTAGTCAAGGATGGCCCAAAGCTTTGGGACCCTGCACCCGCGTGGGAGACCCGGAAGAGGCTCCTGGCTTCAGATCGGCATAGCATCGGCCGTTGAGCTCACTTGGGGAGTGAATCATCGGACGGAAGATCTTCCTCTCTGTCTCTCCTCTCTGTATATCCGCCTTTCCAATGAAAAAATAATATAAATCTCTAAAAAAAAAAAATCCTAAGAATTAAGAAAAGCCAAGCTTTTCTGGTAATAGACTACACTGCAGTTAAGCAGAGATTTGTGGCAAGTGGAACCCAATAGTTCTGCAACACTGTGGGGAAAATTCTGGCAAAACAATCCACATTTATTGATTTTGTCCAACGAGCCCCACCACACAGAGGTGATTTCAATCCATTCTGGTTCAAGATGGGAGGGATTTCTGGTTTTCTTCCACTTTTTTTTTTTCACTTCTGTATTTTCTTCTAATGAAAGACAAATTCATCAAGCCTCTTTTAAAAATTAAAACAAAACAGGACCAGAGCAGTGGCCTAATGGCTAAGGCCCTCACCTTACATGCGCCGGGATCCCATATGGGCGCTGGTTCTAATCCAGGCGGCCCTGCTTTCCATCCAGCTCCCTGCTTGTGGCCTGGGAATGCAGTCGAGAACGGGCCAAAGCCTTGGGACCCTTCACCCATGTGGGAGACTTGGAAAAAGCTCCTGGCTCCTTGGTTCGGATTGGATCAGCTCTGACCATTGCAGTCACTGGGGGAGTGAATCATTGGATGGAAGATTTTCCTCTCTGTCTCTCCTCCTCTCTTTATATCTGATTTTGCAATAAATAAATAAATCTTAAAAAAATCTTAAAACAAAACTGGCCAAGTGTGGTAGCCTAGCGGCTAAAGTCCTGGCACCTACCAGGACCCCATATGAGTACCGGTTCTCATCCTGAGCACCCCACTTCCCATCCAGCTCCCTGCTTGTGGCCTGGGAAAGCAGTCGAGGACGGCCCAAAGCCTTGGGACCCTGCACCCCCATTGGAGACTTGGAAGAAGCTCCTGACTCCTGGCTTCTGATAGGCTTAGCTCTGATCATTGCAACCACTGGGGAAGTGAATCATTGGATGGAAGATCTTCCTTTCTGTCTCTCCTCCTTTCTGAATATATCTGCCTTTCCAATAAAAAGAAAAAAAAAACTAAACATTTAAAAATTGAAAACAATCAATATTACATCCAAAACGACCATTCCAAAATGTGTTAAAATTCCAATTTCTTTTTTCTCACTGTCGAAAACAACTTGAAGAATAGTCAGCTATTTAATTTTTTAATTATTATTTAAGATGCAGAGAGACAGCAACAGAGTCAGAGAAGGAAATACAGATAAAGAATAAACCCCCATTTGCTGCTTCATTCCTGGGAGTCTGAACCCAGGAGCTGGGAACAAAATTTGAGTCTGTCACATGGTTAGCAGGGGCCAAACTGCTTGAGCCATCATTTGCTACCTTCCGGGTTTTGAGGCACGAGCAAAAAACTAGAATCGGGAGATGTTAGGCCGTTTTGGTTGTTTCATTTTGTTTTGTTTCTTCGCAAAAGCCTTCACTACTTTTTTCTGTACAGAAAAAGTTACATCAATGTAGGTCTAGTAAAACAGGTACTCAATATCTAAAGTCACGAAGCAAGTGGCTATTAAAATGAGCAGTAAAAATAAGCATAATAAGAACCAGTGCCCATCCACGGGAACAGTTAAATAGTGCCAGACACTGGTACAGGTAGCCAGACTGCTCATACATTTGAGTGGGAGTATGAAATTATAAAATTGTACAAAATAGCTAGTACTTTCTTATAAAACAAAACATATACCTACTCAATAATCCAGTAAATCTACTGAACAATTACATATGAGAAAAGCATATATTCCTAAAGACTTCTACAAATCTTTTCATAGCAGTTTTATTTATTAAAATCCTTGAAGTGATACAACCCAAATATCCATCAAAGGAAGAATTAGTAAACAAACTGGGATATTCACTTTTCACCAATGAAAAGAAATATTTACCAATGAAAAGTAACATTTACCAATGAAAAGGAATAAACTATTGCTATTTTAAGATAAATGAATCTCAAAAAATCATGCTAAGCAGTCTTACCTAAACAAGAGTATCTACTGTACAATTCCATCTATGTCAAGTTCTAGAACAAACTAAATTAACCTATGTTGAAAAAAATCACAAGAATGCCCACCTCTGAGATTTTGAGTGGGAGCAGAATTTGACCATAAAGGAATATGAAAGAACTTGTGCAGCAGTAACACTATACCTTGATAAGGCTCTTAATTACACAAATGTATGCATATAAAGTTATAGTACATTTATGATCTATACATGTCTAAATTTTATCTGAAAAAATAATTTAAAAACTACTAAACTCCAATTAATGATACCTATGTTAAGGTGTTTAAGATAAAGCTTACTAGACGTGTACAACCTTAAAAAAAAGTTAAGATAACTATAGTAGATGAATAAAAGAATGAATACATGGATAGTTATGTGATAAACCAAATACACACACACACACACACACACACACACACACACACAAAACTACAGAATCAAAGTAATGGATACAGAGGTGTTCATAGTACAGTTCTTTTTTCCATCACTTTTTACATGTGAAAATTTTCATAATAAAATGTTAGAAAAACAAATGCAACCTAACCAGAGTTTTCAAACACTGACCATGAAATGTCAATTTCTAAGTTATTTTCTACAATTACCAAAGCCTAAGAAAATTCTAAGAAGTACCATCTTGAAGTTTGCATCATTAAGTGACTTAAGGTCATTATGTGGTCAGAATCTATTTTTCTCCCTTATACTTGGTCATATGGTTTTTGACAGAGCTAATTGGTCTTCGTATTTTTCCACGCAGCTCTCATTTTCAACTTTTCCTGTTGATGTGCCATTAACATCAGCATCTGGTGATCTTATCCAATTATGTACGTAAAAGGTGAAACGTGGTTTTCATTACTGTGGTCTTTCTCACAAAAGAGGGTAACATAATGATTAGAAAACTGACTATTAAAAACAGTACAAACTATATACATATTATACCCCCTGGAAAACATGCCAAGTAATACATGATAATCCAAAATTTAGAAATAAAAGAAAAAACAGAAATTAACTAATTTGACTTTGATATTTGTATTACAGTTTATAATATCCCTTAAAGACTTAGTTATCAAAATAAAGAAAAATCAATATGACAATTTAATATGCTCTTTGCAGAAATACTGTAAGAGAAATAATAAAAATCAGTCTACATAATATTTTTTCAATTTTACCTCTAAAGGTATAACTTTACAATTCAGACATTCAAATCCAATTTGTGCATTATTTCTACTGTCTTTAAAACAGATTCTGTAAGAAATAATAAAGCTAGGTTA